GCAATTAAATGCGATTTTTACAGTGTTCTGGTTGTTTATTCTTATTTTCAATGACAGGAGATTAATCCACGTTCTTTCAGCTTCAAACTGAATGCTTGGTCAAGACGTAATCTGTCCATATAACGTTGGAAGAGCTATTCAAAGTGAACTAACCGGGGTACGCATGACGAGATACAGTGTCAATCGTTGCAAACAAATGTGATTTTAACAGTAATCGGGACGTTTATTGTTATTTTCAATGACAGAGGCTTAATCTACGTTCGTTAAGCTACAAATCGAATGCTTGGTGAAAACGAAAGGGGCAATATTTTGATATATAAATCGTTAAGGTACTTTAACATTCGGCTCAAACTATTGTCCGGTGGCGCCAGAGTCCCCGTGTGGTGTGTCGTGGGGTGATGGAGCCCCAGGAGGTGGCACCAGAGTCTCCGTGTGGTGAGATCGTGGGGTCATAGAACCCCCGGTGGAGGCGCCAGAGACCCTGTGGGATGAGGTCGTGGGGTCATAGAACCCCCGGAGAAGGCGCCTGAGACCTCGTGTGGTGAGTCTCAATGTCTCCTTTGTATGTGTTATACATATTATCAGAAATTTCCCGTATCGAATTACTCAATACGAATGATTATATTTAATAATTGTTATTTAATATTTTAATATGTAAATCAAATGTCTAAGTGAAGTCATGGCTGCGCCATCTAGTAGCTATTATGATTATATATATACAAAAGGGGTAAAGTATTAAATAAAAATACTGAACCATCAACTGTTAATGAACAATATCGATTTAGACCGACTGCGATGAACAGTCCTATAGAATTCGAAAGAATATTTCAAATATTAAAATTACATGACTACATCCTATCGATCATTACAGTACCAAAGATAACTCCCAGTGGAGTAAACATTTTGATCGTCGAGGTACCGGAGGAATGTTAAATATAATGAGCCTTCAACTACTAAATAAAATACCTCGATCTGCGTGTTTTAACACTACCAAGTGTCTAAATGTAAGTTAAATTAATTCTGACAATATAGTTCTTACATAAACCATATTTTTGGTTTATTGAAAAATGAATATCTTTATTAGGTTATATTACATTTAAGAGTATAACCTGTTACATTCGGTTATGTATGGAATGAATTAGTTTTACTTATATTCATTTTAGTATGTTCATAAAATATTAAGTACTGAGTGGATCCAACTATTGAGTACACCTAACAATTTCACTGCAATATAACAATGTTCCTTAAATCTGTTATAATAAATACTTTTGTACATGAAAAGAAATTTTAACTTGTCCATTAAATAAATTATTATTACTATTGATTACAAAGTGATTTCAGATAAGATATTGCACTAAAACGAAACAAGAAGAAGATTATGAAATACCTACGAATACATTAAGGAAGTACTTTAGCGCAAATGATCAAGTAGAGAATGGAGTTATATATGATGGTAAACCATTTAAGTTTAGATGTGAAGCAGGAAAAAAATATTCTTGGTGTTTGTGCGGTAAAAGTAATAGCCAACCCTTCTGTGATGGTACTCACAGAAATATTCATCTAAAAATCAAACAAAGGCCCATATTCTTTAGTGTTGAAAAAACTAAGGATTATTGGCTTTGTAATTGTAAACAAACATCTAATAGACCTTTCTGTGATGGGACACATAAAAGAGAAGACATACAGCTCAAGAAAAAATAAAAATGTATATAATTATGTAAACTTCACTCTTCTGTAGAGCAAATACATAATATAAATTTTTATTGTTAAAATTCTGTCTTATTTATTTCACGCTGTAAATGTAATATTTAAACAAAATTTCCTGTTAGAAAATGTATTCAATAACAATCTAAGTGTATGACACAAAGAACATATATGTACAATTGTTTTTATGTGACGTTTCATATGCCGATTTATTACTAATTGTTGACTGTGGGCTTTTTAAATAATACTCATTTTTTTATAAAATAATGGAAAAGTTGTTAACCCCTAGTACCATTAACAATAAATAAAACTTGCACTCTACTAGCTAAGTAATACCATGTTATTATCGCCAGGCGGCACTGTATTGGCTCCCAATGTCCATTATAAATATTAAGTGAAAAACGTAATAACTATGGACACAATATTTAAATTACTGATATTATTAAAAGTATTTGATCTTTTGTCTTAAAATATCTTAATATTTCTTTTTTACTACTAATTGGGTAGCCTTAGAAATACGAGTCGATGTGTAGGGTTACTGAGTAGAAACGCACCCTTAACATCTACACGAGGCTACTTCACTTTATACACGTTTGAATTTTAAACTTGATTGATGATAGCTTTCGTACAACGGCTACTGACAAATAAATATAATGTTGAATTAATTTGAGAAACTACTTAAACAATCCTATAAAACAACCTTCGTTATACTTTATGCCTACTGATTAATGTCAAAATGAAATCTACGTAAGTACTGATTATTCGTTCACCTTCAATTCGAATTACGTTTTATTGAAATGTAATGAATCTTCTTTTTCTTAAAACACATTTTGATAAATTGCTTTTATCGACTTCAATGTTTACATTTATTAGAAATTCTAAACCACCTGCTGCAACACGAAAATGTACAAACCGTCCGAAATATGATAGCGTGCACAAGGAGTCTGTGAAAGTATTTTGTCGTTTGAGACCAATGGCTCATCCGAATGATGTGTCCTGTATGAGAATTATTTCGGACACAAACTTAATTATCACACCACCGGAATCAGTGACGAATATTCGTAATGCAAACAGAATTATTCAGACGTCTTTCAGTCATGTTTTTAGCCCGAATGCTTCTCAGAAAGAAGTGTTTGATCTAGTTGCCTTGCCTCTTGTTGAGAATTTAATTAATGGTAAAAACAGTTTACTCTTCACGTATGGAATAACTGGCAGTGGAAAGACTTATACTATGTCTGGAAATCTGGACGATGCGGGTATCATGCCTCGTAGTTTGGATGTTATCTTCAATAGCATAGCGCATTGTCAAGCAAAAAAGTTTATCTTTAAACCGGATAAATTGAATGGATTCGATGTGCAATCTGAAACCGATGCATTGTTAGACAGACAAAATGAGCTTCAAAAGTATCTGTTTGCTCAAAATGGAAAAACTCCCAAACAGTACGTTTCTTAATTTTAATATAAAATTATATTTCACACATAAATACCTAATATCTTTAATAATTTTATTCCAAAGGACTAAATCTGACGATGAAGCCAACAATAATGAAAAGGGTTTGACTCAAACCAGTGAATCACAGACTCTGATTGTTGATGAGGATAATGCATATGCTGTGTTTGTAACATACGTTGAAATTTATAATAATAGTGTATACGATTTATTGGAAGATAATGATGGGAAAGCAAAGTGAGTATGCCTCTTATAAAAAATAATTCAAACGTAATCATAATTCGTGAAAAACAATTTGGAAAATTCAGGACTGTACAGAGTAAAATAATTCGTGAGGATGGGAACAGGAACATGTATATTCATGGATGTACAGAGGTAGAAGTGAAGAGTTCAGAGGAAGCGTTTGAAGTATTTCAAAGAGGTCAATGTAAAAGGCATATCGCGTATACTGTTCTCAATGCTGAATCCAGTAGATCTCATAGTGTTTTCACTATAAGACTTGTACAGGTACAATAATTAATTGATAAGAAAAAATCGTAATTTTGTAATCACTACATTAGTTTGTTACTAGGCACCATTAGATATGAACGGTGAACAAGTTGTACAAGATAAAAGGATTCTCTGCGTCAGTCAATTATCTTTAGTAGACTTGGCAGGAAGTGAACGTACAAATCGTTCTAAGAACACTGGTCAACGCCTTAGGGAAGCAGGTAAGTAATAGTTAATAACACTATTCATTTCAAGCCTCTACACGAATCGTTTTTGTGAAAACAGGAAATATAAACAATTCACTGATGACATTAAGAACATGTTTGGAGATACTTCGTGAAAATCAGACCCAGGGTTCAAATAAAATAGTTCCTTATCGAGACTCTAAAGTTACCCACCTTTTTAAGAATTACTTTGATGGTGAAGGCATTGTTAGAATGATTGTTTGCGTTAATCCAAGGGTTGATGACTATGATGAAGCTATAGTGAGTAAACATTCTGAAGCCAGGCTAATATACATTAATAGTGCATTAATAACACTTCTTCTTTTAATATAGCAAGTAATGAAATTCGCTGAAGTCAGTCAGGAAGTGCAAGTTACAAATTCTGGAATTTCTAAATTAGATCTAGGGTACACACCTGGCAGAAGGCAGGCTAATAAAGTAGGAAATATATTATTTTTAATTTAGTTAACCCTGTATATTGTAGTATTATAATTTTCATTAATTCCATTAATACTCTACAGATATTTAAAGAGGCGAAAAATCGTTTAGAATCTGCTGGTAATCCAGCTGCTGGTGATTTGGAAGTTGATTTAGGTTTAGTATACAGGTACATCACATTAAAATATTCAAAGCAAAAACTATTACTTTGTTATATAATAATATCCCTTTCTAGTCTCGGAGGTCCATTCCCGGATACAGACTTATCGAATCCACACAATGACGAAATAATTACCACGCTTATGCGCTTCCTGGAAATGCGTATTCAGAAACGAAACATCTTGCAAGAAGATTTAAAACAGAAACGTAATCATTTACTGACATTAAATAAACCGCCAAGTTTTCCAAACGTTAATGCATAATCCATTTTTTTTTCTAGAAACTAACTTTAGGAATATGTTAGTGAAAACGGAACGAGACAATGTATCGTTAAGAATTGAGAACTCTACGTTGAAAACGTCAAATGACCAGCAAAAGAAAAAAGTGAGTCTTTAAATAATGATTTATTGATTGCAATTATCGCTTGTTACTTTGTTGTAGATATCCGCTTTGGAGGCTCATATTTGCAAAACGGAATCCCAAATCGATACTCTACTGTACAGATTAAATAGTGCGAACGATATAATCAGGCACATGAAAGAAGAGGTAATCTTTTTTTTTTACTTTAACATTGTCATTTCCATCCTATGTTCTGTACGAAATTAATTCGACTCTCTCTACAGCTGAAAAACAAAGATATGTTACTGAATCAACGTGCAATAGATAAACAAAGAGTGAAGGAGAAATATAATAGTAAGATTCAAATGGAGAACGATAAGATGAGTAAGGAACTGGAAAGTAAGCTACGCCGACAGCGTGAAATTCTTCAGGTACTTCACTATTATTGGCAAGACAAGTTATATATGATCATTTAAGTTTTTATATTTTTATTCATATACTTTACTTTTGCTCACACTGATAAATATTCATTTAGAGTCAAATGAAAGAAAAGGACCAGAAGCTGAAGCTGATGAAACGGATACTAACAAACGATGATGACGCTGAGCAGAAAGCAGAATCTACGGAATCCATTCCAGCGGCGACATCGAGCGATACTGACGTTCCTACGACATCTAAACCTACCACTAGCCCCACAACAATACCAGAGATTACGTCTTCCATAACAACGACACCTAAAACCAGTATGAAGACACCATCGACTGTTAAGTTTGATGATGCCAGTGATCTTATACTTCGTAGAACTGTAATCATTTAATATCCGTCACTCTATTTAAGCTTACACAACTGGTTACTGAAGGTTCCTCCCGTAATTTCGTACAAACGATTTACATGCCTACTTTACTCGCGTACAATGGTGCAGAATATAACAGGCTATACCTGAAACACAGTGACCTCGAGTAACCAGTACTACCAACGACATACTGACAACTTTATCTTTACCTCTAACACACAATTCGCAGGAAAGAATTCCAGTCGTGAATCTGCGATATAGACGGTCGCAGAGCGCAGAAAGATGGGTGGACCATCGACCTTCTGGCTTGGTTCCAGTTGGAACCATTTTCCAACCACGTCTACGACAGAAACGAAGCGTAACGCAATTAACAGACCCGAAGGACATAACAGAAGGAGTGTCCAGGTATTGCCTCGTTGCACAGGAGCAAGATACTGACGGTGAACTTGAAACTAAATTGTACAAAGTTGGTATTACCATTTTTTTCCTTCTAATAGAGATAGCTAAATAAGGGAATAAACTATAGATATCTTTTGTATCGTAGGGTGATATATTACCAACTAGTGGAGGAGGTGCTCAAGTGGTATTTAACGACATGGAACACTTGAAACAAGTGTCGCCTGTTACAAGACGAAAACGCAGCAATTATTACAGTCCAGAAAAGAAAGATTCCGCTTTGCAGAAGGAGAGCGGCGGTCTGGAGGATCATAACACGAAAAAACCTCGTGTTTAGAGTTCATTTCTTTTTTTTTTAATATTCGGACGTGGTATTACGTTTGAAATCTTGATGAAGACGTACCACAAATAAGACTTAATTACGTAGCATATGTATATGTAAAAACCAAAGTCGTGAAGGGATGGAATTCTCTTCTATATTTTTTTCTTTTATGCAATAACGAAAAGTACAAATCAGTTATAAGCGTGTATAAAGTAGCGCTTAGTTATAGTTCCGTTTAATTTGATAGCGAAATATATATATATATTTTTTCTGTTAACGAATTATTATTCTAAATAGAGGTATTGTTTATAATTGAAAATATATTGTTACTTGAGACGTGTCATTAGCTTAAAGAAAGAAAGCTAATTTCTTACAAAATAGAACTGAAGATATTCTTGCCTAGAATCTTATCTTTTTTATTTATAATTCCATGTAGTGCTAAATGTCCATTCATTTTCTGTGGCTTATACAATGCAAATTTTGTAAAATAATACAAATGTTAGAACGAAAGCCTGGATATGTATATTGCCAATAGTTTAACGAATATACACATCGTTCCTAGAATGGTGTAAATTATAGAAATCAATATCGAAAATTTGATATTTCGTTTTCTTTCAATAATTGTGAGTCGTTTAATAATAAAAAATATATATTCACATATTCGCCACAGCGTAGCAGCGAACTGTAGTCGACAGAACAAGTTATATTTCATTTTCTTTTGTATCTTATAGAAACTACAACATTACAGAAATTAAGCGTACTCTTGCAACTGATAATGTTATATCGTCAGCAATGGTGTACTACATTTTCTTTTCGTTTTCGATTCACTTATCCTCCCGATGCGTTTGCAACGTACAAAATCATACAAAGTATTGAGACTAGATAAATACCTTAATTAGTTAAAGTAATAAGTCATTATATTATGATCGGTTTTCTTTTTAACAATGTTAAGTATCTACGCACGGTCTACCCAGTTAACCAAGATAACCGTTGAAATGAGGGAGAATGGTTCGTTCGCCTTATTGACGTCAATTACCAGGCTGCATCATTAATCGTAGACTACGCTCGATCCTTCTAAGTATTACAGGAATTGAGGAATCAGAAACCAAGGAACGCGCCTCTTAGCAATAGCATATAAAAAGTTTCGAGTATTTAACTGAGATAGATAGTACCAGAAATATAATATACACAAGAAAATGCACGCGAAATACAAGGATACTATAAAGTGTCCACCTCTATAGTATTAAAAGAACAATTCCGGGATGCTTTGACCGTTCAGTTACCAGACTAATGGTTCATAAGTGTACTGTATTGTACACAATTTGATATGCTTTTTAACCGGGGAAATCTTATTTAGGGGAACGGCCAGTTCCTATCTAATTCACCGAAGAGCGTGAAACAACTTCCTCTTCCCTTAAGAAGTAATGACAGAAGGCAAGTGGGCTTAAGAAGTGAATTTCCATTAGTCAAATTGGTATGACAGACGCGAGACCTGACGTTATTGAGGACATCAATATCTTGGGCCGACAGAAATGAATAACATACATAAGTTCCATTCTCAATTTGCGCTCAGTGCACTGGAACAGTTCGATGCAATCGCCAAATCTAACCCCGTAAGTCCAGAACTGATAAACTCTGGCAAGCCTGCGTTTACTTGCGAGTAAACGTATACCTCAGATTGTTGCCGCAGTAACTACGAGTGTCAAGGGGACGCAATTCGTCAATTATATGTTTGAAATGGACGAGACTACTCACTCGGATGATAATATACCGTGGGAGTGGGGCGTCCAGGTCCTCGTTGAGGATTTTTAGACGGAATAGTCAGACGTTTAATCATCTCGAATGACGTAAAGAATGTACATTGTGCAACAATAGTTGTTATCCTGCTGCGCGGTCATTATCCTCGGTCGAGCGATAGACTTCAACAGGTCGAAGGTTCAAGCGATAATACGGAAAGCATCGAAACTTGAATGGACGCTTCGGGAAGCCGGAGAGAGGCCGCGAGATTAGAGGAGCTGAAAAAGAGGGGCAGAATGTAACAACAAATTATAAAAAATCGATTATTTAGTTTATTTAAAGATAGAGTGTTATGCGACGATGCATTCTCCCTTTTTGCTTTTTACGCAAGTACAAACGAGACGCGCGCGCGCGCGACCTTAGAATATTGTCCATTAGAAGCTAGTTGTTGCAAGATAAGTTCATCGAATAAAAAACTGTGAAGCTACAGAGTAAAGTCGATCTGCATAGAAATTGTTAAGCGAGTTCTTGTGCAGCTGCAGTTGCGCTGTAGTATCGACGCATTGAGAATCAAACACTACCGACCATCGTTATTCCTCTTCTTGTGTATGTATAGTCCGCCATGTTGGAAAACATCCCTGAGTTAGTTTAAGAATGATTATTCAACTTTGAACACTTTTTATGCTCCTATTGAATCAGTAGAATTTTATAGCAATATTAAAAGCTACAATTTCCACAAAACATCAGCCTTTGAACCAGAAACATTTATCAGGATATTAAATGTTAAAGTTTTAACTATGCTGCGAAGGGTGCCTAGTGGGGACGATTCTCTCGAGGGAATTCTTGTCGGACTATACATTGTTAAATAAACTAACGTATTGTCGACAAACTGGTGTCATTGCATTGTATGTATCATGGAAAAGAACAGAAATTGTTTGAAAAGAAAACAACCCGGAGTCCCATCCTCAATGCGTCAAAATAGAGTATACATATGCCGTTCAGGTTTTCTTAAATTCTAATAATCGAAACGCGGGCTAACTTTGAGCACTTTCACGAGTGAAAGGAGACATAAATCGTGCATAATACATACGACTCGCTTTGTTCCCTGTAAATACACTCGACGAACTAAGCGAATCGATGGCCTAAACACCGACTCGCGGTAACTGAAACGACCGAGGAGGTGACATTTACAGACTTTTAACATTTACTCGTAATTCTTAATGTTTCAAGCTCTTATATCATATACATATATATATATATATATATAGTACCTTCTGCGCGTATAATATATATATTACTTCTCGTTTAATATATATATTACGTTTCTAACTCGAATATTTAAACATTCCAGATAATACCACAGACACTAGACCAGAAGCATTATTGATTCTTGTTTAGGAAACCCAGAAAGACTCTTTACGATAGGTGTAGGCTTCCTTTACGAAACACTTGAAACGTGTCTTCGCTCGAGGTTATTATATATGTGTAACATCAACATTAATTTTTAATTTTCCAGTAAACTAGCGTCACTATCGCACGACGGTGATTAATAGCTTTCGTTATACATTATGTATACCAACAATAACACAACGACGTGGTACAGTATAAGTTTTCACGCTATCGACAATAATGCCAATGTTTTCATGTGACATAGCGCTTCAATGATTGTTGTTTCTCGAACACCGGTTCGCTAGGAGTGACAACAATCACACACAAGCTGTGTGAATAACATCAACAACTACTAACGTATCTTTTCTTTTTTGAGTATAATGTCGAGTGTTGGTTCACTCAAGAGATAACGATTAATTCCTTCAATAGTACATGCGAGTTTAGCACGTGTCTGTACACATAATGCATTTAAACTAATGAAAGCGTATATAAGGAATCGATGAAAAGAGGAAATCAAGAACGCAAGAAAAACCATGACGTTCAACGAGTCTGACTGTGGAAAAAGTTGTAAAGAAATACTGAGAAAATATGTGTCACTGCTTATATAAAAGGTAACAAACATTCCCCGACAAAAAATTACTGAAAGGTCTCCTTTAGATCATACAAGCCCGTGAAATTCACTTGTTACGTTTCTAATTCCATTGTGAATGTCATAAGGAATACTGAGACAATTCGACGGTAACGACATCATTGACACACCGTGTGAAAACACATCATTGCGGTCAAATACCAACGTGCAAAGAACAAATTATTCGATGCATTTAACCTTTCCCCCCGCCCCTTATTCGTGAACGCGAGAACGTGTAGTAAAAGCGACGCGTATCGTCGCGACTTTGAAACGAACGGTCCAAATTTACAAGCATAGCAACAACGAACAACGAGCTTATTCTATAGCTTTGCTCATGAACTCTATAAATCGCTTGCCATACTGTTCTGGATCACAGGTTGAAATACCATCGACGTTAGCACCATATTTCACTGTCTTAGCTGCCTTCGCTGCTTGTTTACGGACACCGTAATGTGTCAGTACATCTATTATAGCTAAAAAATAGATTTCCTTTGTAGGCGCACCTGAAACGAAACAATGTTTCGATGTTAGCTCAAGAAGCAATACATTATACAAACCAATAAGTATTCTACTTGGGAAAAATATAATGCTGTCATAATATCAACCAGATGTTAAAGCATAGGTTCCCAAAAAGGGCGCTGAAGAGATCTAGGGCGGCCGTTCTAATCATTTTGATTTCATTATTTTTAGTCTAACTTTTTAAGATTCAAAGATCACACGCACAACTACACTTGGAAATTTGTATAATAAAGACAGTTTAACTAAAGAAGGCGCTGAACAGAAAAAACTTTCACAAGGGGGCGGTGAGTCAAAAAAGTTGGGGAAGCTATGCGTTAAAGTAATTAATATTCAAATCACTGGAGTAACATAGTACCAAAGCTGGAATAATTATTACCTTCTTTACTAGGAATTGCATAAATATCTAATTCAGGAATTATTGCATCTTCGTATTGTAAACTGGTGTCACGATTTAATGGAGCATGAGGTGATTCAGGTGGTGTTGCCATACCAGTAACACCACACCATCCCCATAAACGGCTGAAGAAAAGAATAAACATTGAAGATACTAGGAGGTAATATTTTTTTTACACATATTTTAAATAATACACACTCTCCCATTGGACCCCGAGAATCCAATCCACTTCCAGACTCACTATCCTCTTCGTCTTCATGATTTTCTTCCTCTTCCTCCCTCTCGGCACGCTCCCTATTCTCTTGTTCAGCTCTTGCACAATCGTGCAAACCGAGTAGCAGAGAATAATCCATTAAGTGCAATCTTGTTAGGAACTACAGAAGCAATTCATTAATGAACGCGATAAGATAACATTCAGTGCACGAAGAAGAGAACTTACATCGACATCAGCCGTTAATGTCTCTATAAGTTTGCCTTTCGCATCTTCGCCAATATAAATTTTCATTCCCTCTTTGACGAAATCGTTGTCCTTATAAGTTGGCAGATCTTTCTCTTTCTCTTTGTCAGATGCTTCGCGATCGACGGTTGAACCTTTCAAGTCAAATTTCTTGTGGGTTGTTAAGTGATTTGAGAATACATTTCTTATGGCGACAACATAATGTTCAACTCCATCGACTGTCAAACGATACATGCCGAGATATTGGGGTAACAATGTTTTCCCATGCCTTTCCACAATATACTGAAAATAATACTGTTAGTATGGTATATAAAATTAAAAGCTTATTATTATCTTAATGATTTCTCTATACCGGATGATAATGTTTCAGAAACGAATGCATCCTTTCTACTTCTTCACTTGTCAGAGTTTTTATAATAAACAATTTATCATAGGACTGGTAAAACTTTGCGCCACTTTTCCCAGAAGTGTCGTCCAACATTGGCTGTGATCTGAAAAAAGTAATTTCAAGTTACTTAGCTTTATCATTAATACTATCAGTATAACACGTCTTTATGAATGATAGAGCATCCATCTATTTCACATAAAAGCACACTAGGTTTATTTTGATAATTCTGTGTTTTCTACATGCGTACAAAACATAAAAAACTTGTTTTCCAGTTAATTACTAAGCATAGTGATTCGCTCATTAATTATTCATACGTTATATTGTGTATTTTAGCGAAGAAAAAAAACTGATTCCAAACTGTGTAAACCACGATTGTCAATCAATTAAAACTCAAATAATCAAGTTAATAGAAAAAAGCATGCTTGAATTATATGTAACGCCATGGAATTTAATCCAATGATATTTTGGAGTAATGTATAATTAAATAGGTTTTTATGCGTGATAAGATAGTATTGTGAAATAATGTATGTACTTTTTGGGTTTCTTTGAATTGATTCTTTGTCCTTGATGAGTGACTCATAGAAACGAGTTAGCCACAAGCAACACGCACAAACTGAAAAATCAAGACTGGCTAACCTCAGACGTTTTGGTTTAAAACTGTAGGAACGTAGTGGCTTATTTAGGACTGGAATTTGTGAAAAAATAGGAGTTGGAGGAGAAAGGGTTATCGAAGGAGCAGTAGCAGAGCGCTGAACCAATTCATGAGCCTTCCCAGTCAAATCCACATGCCTCTCTGTTCGCGAAGGATTAAATGTCCGACATCTGGTATCAAAATTTTATGTTTAATACTTTCAAATAAGGCATATACTTTGTATTCATAATATAGTACAGAAAATCAATTGTATCCTTTCTGGTATAATCACATTTGTATAAGATGATACTTTAAAAACAGAAGACATTACTTCAATATAGAAACTATGTGTTAGTCACAGAAATTTAATATCTAAATAGTCGTACACTTCTATCTGCATGCCGTGTAAAAATAAAATTATATTACTGTACTATTTCGATTTTTTTCGGAATTTAAAAATGTTCGTATTTATTTCCTTTTTAAATGTAATTCTTGAGTTCAACTGTGTTTATAATGTGGCAAAATTATGATGATTTTTTTTTATGAAATTATTTTTTATTTCCTTTTACGAAAATTTTTTCGTAAAACATCGGACGAATTAGAAGTATACAAGCACAAGAAGTATGCACCTTCATTAATGGAATGTGTTACTTGTATTACGACGGAAAAAATTTTATCATGACATCTCATCAATGCAAAACCTCATATCAATTGACTAAGATAAAATTTTTATTTACAATGATTTTGTTTATGAGTCATTCTGTAGATTACATTCCCTCAAGGTGGTATCAAGCCCCTAAATCTGCAATGTTCTATAAATAAATAAACGTGCTTTGTAAATGAAATAAGAAAAATATATACAAAATAACTTTAATACACAGATACTTCGTACAAGCACCAGCTATCATAACTTTTACAGAAAGCTTTTGTGTAAAGTAATACATATCGAGAGCATGCAGTGTAGTATAATAAAAAGACAGAGTATGTTGCTATCTTAGGAATATGTTCAAACTAATATATATGCCTTGAGTAAGTATTCAAAAGATACAAAGTGTTAATATAAACTGCCTTTTACCTTGTCATCGATTCCTTATAGTCCAAATCATCTATACCAAATCTTTCCCTTAGATTTCTGAATACTAATGGACAATACTCTTTGATTTTAAAGTGTGAGGGCATATTCTCTCTAAAATAAAAAAATTCATCATAAACATTTGTTATCCATACTAAAAAGGCACAAATTCTTATTACATTTGTATTCTAATGTTTCTATATACATGCAGTGCGAGAAGCTACTCACACTCAAATTAGGAAGTAAAGTTATTTGTATCTTTAACTGCAACCTCACTTCATGAGGACCTTCATTGAATCTATTATTAAAAGCAGTGACCAACCTACTAATTCAGTATTTAAGCGATATATATTTAGAATAGGCCACCTCAGTAGCATGCTTGAAATTTCTATTAATGATTTCTTTCCTACATTGGACGAAACACTGCCTTTGTACTTTGTTTATTCTATTCTCTTATTATTCTGAATAGCAAAATATATTACAGGACTCACTTGTTGAAAAGATGATTATCAACTTTCAATTTGCTGTAAGCTCTGAAATCATCTGGCAGGAGCATTACCGGTATATTAACATGACTAAGTTCATTTATCTGAAATGTATAAAAATACAATGCTTGGGTGAACATAATTTTCCAAGTGAATTCACATGTTGTCCCTCAAAACGATTGAGATCATTCATTCCTCAAAAGTCAATTATATAGTTCTTTAATTGAAAATTATAAATGGATGTTTTAGTCTTATATGTACTTGATGTTAATAGATATTACTGAAGAAACATGATAAAATTTTAGCACATAAAATGTAAATTCCTTTTTAACAATTTAACAGTTTAGGAATACAATTGACCTTTATTTTTCTACAGATTTGTTAATGCAAAAGTTTCTGTACACTATGTAATTATGTACAATGATTTCAAACCACTACCATACGTCATAGTTCGATAAGTTTCCACTGAATTCACTAAAAGCTAGAAGAATACACTGATTAATAAAAGTCAATGATTTAAGCTGATACATATTCTTCTATATCAATAGTTTTTATATCTCTCCTGATGAGTTTCTCAGTAACTATGTTTGTTACAGCCATAAGATGTATATTATGTAAAGAATTACTTCATCAAAAATTCAATAACACAATGATTCAGAAATAAGCTGCTTTGTCAGATAAATTACCATATAATTATTTGGTAATTACTTATGACTACACTGTGGATTTTAAGCGTTTAATATACAGTCCAAATACTAGATGCAATTCCACAAAATAATATAAAACACCATTAATATACTCACAGAGCAAATAAGTTTACAATCAATTCTTGTTTTTTCTTTTTTTGCGAACGAACGTATAAACGAATCTGTACGAATTTGCATAAACATCCGTCGTAGTCCACATTTGACCGAAATTTATTATTTAAAAGAATTCTAATCGAATAATGCCCAGTCTGTGTCATGGTAATTCTACTAGAATCACAACAAGGTCTGAAGCGTAAATAACTAACGCGCACTATTTTGCAAAAACAGCGCGCAAGGTGAACCATAAATCAGTCGACGACCGATCCCTTCGCTGACAAAAACAAATTTGCGTCATACCCGCCTTATAAAAGTAAACGTAAAATCATTCAGGATCGACTCTATCTGCAAGGGGCGACGGTGACCGATCTATAAAAAATGTATCTTCGAGACATTCTCGCTTAGCCAAAAAACTAATCGAGAAAATCATAAGAGACAAACGATCGTGGGCGAGAAAACAACGCGCGAAACACACACCGGATTCTATCAAGCTTCGGGGGGTCAGAACGAGGAAAATGGCATTTCGATGACGTACGATGCTGTCACACGCAGAATGCGTTCTTACTCACCGTGTGATTGACACCCCACATGAAAACACTGAGGAATGGTTCGTTCGCGCGGAAAAGCTTAACCTTTTGATGCTTCACACGAAAGTGTTTCTTTTTCAGCTTGCTTAGCCCGCTGGCCATTTGCGATGCGCTCGACATGGTTCTCGCGATTCGTAACTGCTTTAGCGTGTCAACACCTATCGATATATAACACCTCTCTATTGCACACGCGAGGAAACAATTGTTGGAACTTTTTTCACACGTTCATCGTCGTGAAATCCCCTCGCGAGGGACACTGACAAGCAGATGATAAAATCTAGTCGCACAAGCCTGGAGATGACGATCGCCGCCAGCAGAGATACCACCAAACGCACCCCACGGCGGTTGATTAGCGACTGACTGAGCTCCTTTTAAAAATGGCGAAGACAAGCATGTCCTCTACCTGCAACCGCAATATAGAAACTGCGGATACGCGAGAGCTGCGCCTTGGCACCGTTTCCAATCGCGGCGAACGAATTTTCACCGAAACTGTGAACGTAATTCGAATAAGAATTTCGTTTATTAAGTTTCCTGGGATACTATTCGAATGAAAATCGACGTTGTTAGAGAAATCGTTTGTTAGTCAAATATATAAATTTCTTTGAATAAATGAACGATATGAAATCATCATATCTATTCACATCCTGCATAATACAATTAATATTACAATATATGTATACATTTTTAAAAAGTAGACATATAAAAAATGATTACAACTGAAAAAGTTGAGAAAAGTAGAGTTGACCAAATTGAGTCTTCTGGGAAGCTCATATTATAACGAAACAAACACTTCCGACATTAATAGCCTGGCTGTTATCTCATGAATCGCCTCCCTTAACTCATCAGTTGTTCATCAATAAATATATTCAGATTTAATCGTCGAATAAAGTTGAATAAAATATCTTATTTGAATGAATCGGGTTTGAATAATGCTACAGATTTATTCAAAGGTACCGAATAATTTTTTTTCAAATAAAATCGTTATTCGTTATTCGCAAATAAATTTTGGGGGTCTATTATTCTATCTCTTTAAATAAACTTTTCTTAACTCCGAATTTGATTCGTAAATTACCTACAACCCACGTGTTACAATTGATTAATTATCCCATCGAACAGACTGTATGTATTTTAGCCGGTAATTAAATTCTAACGTCATCGTAAAGATCCACGAACCGATAGAAATTATTTTATGAATTCTTTTATAAGTAGTGAAACATTAACCTTGACTTTTACAAACACGCTTTTTGTAGTTTAGGTTCCCTAATGCGACTCATAATGCAGTGTTACTGCAGTATACTGGGTAGTCTTATAAATATGCGATGACTTTCTGCTAATGGTTGAACTGTTGGAGTATAGGTAATTCAATACTTTTCAATTATTAAAAAGAATGTGTTAATTTTTCTAATGTATGAAAGCGGACCAAATTTCATTCGAATAGCCCATGACGATTAGAAATAGTAACAGATTTGGGTTACTTTGTAATGTTTTTATAATTGATACCAATGGATAAAATGTTTTTCATATGTTACTCGTAATTTAATTATCTATAGATCTATACAGACAACAGTTTCGCTCATTTCTAAAAAGCGCTCATCAAGATCAATCTACCGATATGTACATAATGTTCAAGGTCAAATGAAATCAGGAGGAAGAATATATTTTAAGTCTTCATAAACTGAAGTTTGTTTAATGAAACTTGAAGCAAACTTTACGCGTTACTCGACCAAATATATTTTCGTCATCTGGTGATATCTAGAAGATAAATTCCGATTAAATGAACACGCTAGAAATTCATTTATCTTAATGCATTTGTCGATAAGCAAAGATCCACGGACGGTTCAGCCTTAAAGGGAGATTCATCGTGATAATGTGAACGCGTCGTAACGCGTGCACCAAGAAAGCCGCCGTCGAACGTCGTGTTAAAAGCTCATTAAAATACAGAGTTCCACGTTCGAATAGAAAAAATGGAAACAATGTCGAATCCGTACCCGAGAAAAATGCACGACACTTACGAGGACGAGGAGGAGAGGAAGCACTTTCAACGGATCGTCTCGGCTTTCAAATATTACAAGTGGGTAACTCGCGAGAAATTTCGCCCGTTTTCCTTTCCTTTGAGCCTCGATTCTATATACGTTCGGCCTTATCTTTATTACCTTTATTTTTTTTTCGTACCTTCTTCTTTGTATATTGCAACAGCGATAACTCGTTACGATGTCATTCACGATTTTTCGATCATCGTTAAACATTCTCGCCGATATTACTTAACCTTCATCGATACGGTGGTACATGATGTTTTAAGTCACAACGTTTCATGGTTCTCCTGTCGTTACAGAAATCTTGATCCAAATCATGTCGTTGATCTTTCCGGCAAAAGTTCAATGACCTCTGTATAATGGGGAACATCCGTAGGTTTGTCCAATAAGGTCCTATGACCAGGTGCAATTTATCAATTATTATCTTCTAAAATCGGTATTTGAGTTGAATTAATAATTGCATAAAACTAGAGTATGCTAAATGTAATAGTATATGATAAATAATACTTCTTTTCTTTTTTAATAAATCCTTATTACAGAACTCATTCGTTATTGAGGGTAAAAAAGACGGAGTCATATTTGCTGACACTTCCACCTCATCACCAGAAACTTCTGTCAAAGTACAGAGAACATCTGCAGGAAGTTAAACGATGTATTGAGAATAATGATGAAATAATCAAACTAATTATAAAGGATGTAGCTCATATTTTTGAAAATGTGAGCCCAGCTAGTGCACAGACTGACAGTGTAAGAAAAGTTTACATGGTGTGTAGCATGTATATCCTGTTGTTCAATATTATATGTTATTAACATTGCAACTGATCTATTCTATTAATGCTGTTAAATATAAACAAAACGTTAAGTACTGAAAGAAGTTCATATAGTTTTCTGTCGAGACACATTTCAAACATAATGATAAAGTACAAACTGCAATAAGACATTTCGTTTCATAATATTTATGATTTCATTACTCGTAGAATATACAGACATATAGAATTATATTTGAAAGAAACTGTAATTGTTCAAAGAGTCTATTGCAAAACCACATAAATTCTTTCTGGTACTTAATACTAATGTTGGATAAGAATGACTATTTTATTACTATGTTTCATAAACTTTAACCACTAACTTCAGCTTAAAGAAATAACTTTTTCTATTTCATACACAATTGCCAATTTGTCAGTATTGTTATTTTACATAAGAAATTTTTAAATCAATTTCTTGGTTTCTTTTTCTTGTGATTTTAACAAGCTTCTTTTTTTATAAAAATATATTCTATTGTACAAAATATAGGTAGGTCTGATTGCAGACACTAAATCCTCGTCCAGTAATGGCTGATCAGGAAAAGGTGCAAGCTACGATTAAACAACTGGTCCGCGATTGGAGCGTCGAAGGAACTGACGAACGCAATGCATGTTATCAACCTATTATAGATGAAATATTGAATCAGTTCCCTTTAGAATATTGGTATGAATCCGTTGAATTTCACGATTATTTTGAATATCTTACTTGCAATAGCTATATTGCAACATGTTAAAACACTTGAGAAAAGTATAAAATGTTAGGTAAATTTCTAGTACACCATCCGAAGTGCAGATTCTAGTACCTGGAGCAGGATTAGGAAGACTTGCTTATGAAATTGCGAGACGGGGATACACCTGTCAGGGAAATGAATTTTCCCTCTTCATGCTCTTTGCATCACATTTTGTACTAAACAAGTAAGTATCGAAGGAGTTATTTTAAGAAATAATCTAACTTAATTTGATTTGTTAACAACTGTTGTTATTCCTTCACAGATGCAGAGGAGTGAATTCATATCAGGTGCATCCGTGGGTGCATCAGTACATGAACAATTTAAAACCAGAGCATCAAACCCAGGCTGTATTTTTTCCCGATGTGAATCCCAGTGATCTCCCGGAGAATGCGCAATTTTCTATGACAGCTGGAGATTTTTTGGAGGTAAGTTCCATGACCCAATCGAAATTTAAGTAAACACAATCGAAGTTTCTACGTTACAGGTTTATACAGAAGACAATCATTGGGACTGTGTTGCGACATGTTTTTTTATAGATTGTGCAAACAACGTTGTGCAATTCATCGAAACGATCTATAAGATTCTAAAACCGGGAGGCGTATGGATAAATCTTGGACCATTATTGTACCATTTTAGCGATATGCCAATGGAAGACTCGATAGAACCAAGTTACGATGTTGTTCGAGATGTGATCCAGGGATTTGGTTTTCAATTGGAGGTAATTGGATAACTAATATTTTTGTAATACAACATATTGCAATAGAAGAAGCCGTTAATAGTGCTATTTAATGCATTTCCAGAAGGAAGAGACACGCGTGAGAACACGCTACGCACAGAATGTCAACAGTATGTTACAATGTGAATACAATAGCGTATATTTTGTTTGTCGAAAGCCTAAAAGACGCATAGACAACGAAGTGAGTCATCGAAACGGTTCCGAATCTAACGGGATGCAGGAGCAAGAAAATTAATTATTGACGACCTGATGTGTTTCACTCGTAAGGAAAATTGAACTAATTGTAAATGCATTATATGATACATAGTTTCATTACTACAAAAGCAAAGCTGTTATACATTATAAATGTAAGTCAATATTAGGCAATTTGAATTAAAAAAAAAAGAAGTAATCTTTACAGACAGTTAAAGATTAAACTGATATTTTTTTAACTGGAAATTTTATTTCATTATAAGTTATTGCTGAATATATTTGCTCTATTGTTAACAAATTGGATAATAAAGTAGTACAATTATTTTTTTAAACACCGACGCAAGTCAATCGGAGTCCAAGGTAATGAATCTTTAATAATAACAGTTTTGCAATTTCCCTTTTGAGTTCAATATTTGTGATTTAGCATAATCATTCAATGTTTATTGTTTCAATTATTTATCAAATATCGTGATAATATGAAATAAAAGAAACTAGATTTGGTTGCATGTACATACAATATGCAATGTTCCCTGTTCGAGATGCTCTCTCCATTTTGCTTTCTAGAGGATTTTCATTTGTTAACATTAACAGATGCATCTTACAGCAAAATATGTGTTGGTTACAAATTTTTACAGAAACCAGTGATGCCTTATCAAGTTTTGTCTGAAATTGACGTATATTAGTACTGCAAAGAAGATGCAATTTCGAAATCCGTGTTTTTCATTTCGATGTTCAATTTTTTTTTCGCTGTTTTCATTTCCATTGTGTATTTTCCGAAGACTAAAAACAGTCGCACAAACTCATTATCCGTTTCAAAACAGTTTATATTAATATTATTTTACAACAAAACGGAAGTCCATGTTGTAAAGCAAAAGTTTACTTTGCGATGCAGAATACATGCAGGCCAAAAATAATTATAACATAAGTTAGGCCTAACAATGTAACTAATATAATTTTTTATTAAAAAAAATATACGATGAAAAATTTGGTTAATGTATATTACCTGTTTGAAAATATTATATTACTTTTAAAGCACTTATGGTACAAAAATAGATGGTGGAAAGACAATATCAATGTATGATAAAATATGATTCAATCTTACAGACTTTTATTAAGATACTGTACAAACAATGCTGCAATCTGATTCACTTCAAGTTGTTGCATTTTACTGTAAGTTAAAAACTGTCGTCGTAATCTCATAAGTTGTGCCGCGGTACATGGATTTTGTACTGTTAAATTATACTCCGGTATTTTAAATTCACTTTCAATGCCCAACTGCTTGGCTGATAATATCGCCTTTATAAATAAAAGAAAAAGAAGATGTAAACCGATTTATCATACAACTTATGATTTCTAATCTTTTGTAGTCTATCCCACACAATTTATCATGATTAATTAGCAAATAAAGATCTTTAAACAACTTACATTGACCACTTTTTGAGTTACTGAATCCAATTCGTATAAATAATTTGTGGATGACAATGGTGGCTGAAACACGATATATACTTTCATGAACTTAAAAGAATCATCGATTTACCACATAATCTACTAACTTGCACAGATACTAACGCATTGAGTGCTTAAATTCGGTTTTGGTGCTTTCACTTCATAAAGTGATTTATAAATTTCTTCAAATCTTAACTCATCTTCTGCAGATACTGAAAATAATGGAGCATCCCAACGATTTCTACTATCTGGGGTTTCATACCTATATAATGTATAATGTACACTTTACTGTATTACAATAAAAATTCCTATAATATCTTCATTTACCTCATTACAAGAGCATCAAAAATTTCTCTACTGTATTGTTCACATTCTGGTCGTTTTTCATTCCATAACCAGGCGTGTTCGATGGGTATATCACAATGTACTGTACACTGAGGACTTTTATATAATTTTGTCATACAATACATTTCATATCGGTATCCTTTGATATAATTGCTACCATCAATTATTAATACATCATTACTATTCAGCAATCTTTGAGTTGCAGATTTTATATCACTTCTTACACTTTTCTCTTTCTTCGAATCTATAATTGTTTATAATAAAACAAAATTTGAACATACTCTTAATAAAATGCAAAGAGTAAGTGAAGGACAAAAAGTATTCCCAATGAGGTTTTAGTTACTATTTTTTAATTCATTCTTAAAACAACTACTTTAATAGATAACATTAAAAAGTAAATGTAAAGGTCTAAGGCGCCAAATCATTAGAAAAAATAATAAATTCTAACCAGCATAAAATGTATTTCTATCATAGCCCGCCTTGATAACAACATCGATTTCGTTGATAACCTCCACTCTTTTCCCTACTTTCTTCTCGAAGTGTTCTTTCAATTCGGCTGTTCGTGTTGTTTTGCCAGTGCATGGTGTACCAGTTACAATGATAAGTGGCATTGTGTAAAATTTATTGAAACAAAAGTTTCTCACGACATGAAGACTTTAACCCATTTAACCTACTGCGCTGCAACTACGGGCGCTGCCATCTTGGATTATATACAATACAATCATACTTGATCATACTGTTCATACACAAGATGTAAGTTTAGATAAACATATATCACACATGAAAAATAGTACAAAAAATCTGTACTATCGATGTCTTAAAAAAAAAGACAATGATTTAACGATATATATCTGTTTGGGCTCTTGCTCCGTTTCGTTTGGACCGGCTAGAACCTTCTTCGAATATGTACCCATCCACTCCAACCCGGGTTAGCTAACATGTGGTAAAATAACAAGAAAACAATATATATTCATCCATCGTCCAGATGAAACAGAACCGATTTCTACCATTCGAAATATTAAGCGGACAGTAACTCGTGGTAAAAATCATCCGAGCCACGTGTACACCATGCTACCTGATATTTGTCAGCAACAGGTTCTATCTCTATCCTCTTTCGGATAACCGCGACCACTACTTTCCTTCCCTCCCAGGATGGGGGATATACCGTATCGTGGTTTGGAACCAAGTGAAAGCTGACGACTAGGCCAATAACCCGACATTCGTGTAGTTGATCTCGACGATGAAGGTGTACGGCTTTATTTCTCTACTCACGATACTTTTTCTCGTTATCAACGATGCTTCAGGTGAGTTATCGGTTGATGTGCAGTATACGCTGTTATGTTTGAAACGGTGTAGTGCGCAGACTCCCTTTAATGGTTTTATGCGGAAAAACATTTAAACGCGAGATACTATCAGTTTCATTAGCTATAGTTTTATCAATTTCCATATTGTCTTATTAATAACAAGTTTATCGAAGAGGCATCCCAGATAGCACACGACGTCTAATGACGCCTTGAAGACTGCTTAGAGGCGCCTTAGACCTAAAATAACCGTAAAATGGACGTCTTTAAGGCGTCATGTGCTGTCTGGGTTTGCACGCATCAGTTGTTCAGTTATGCGCGAAGTAAGAGACAAGGGGAACCGAGAGACAGGAATGTATTTGACATTTTCTGCGGCGTCTTGTGCAACGTAAATCTGACATTTCGACACGCCTTCGGTCAACTTCGTTCCTCGAGAAGCACGGTTTGATTAACTTTCGATTTATTTCGACGTATTATCCACGAACTGAATATCCTGTCGTTTAATTAGCAAATTGGACGATATACAAATCGAACTCACGAAAAGTTTTTAGCTTCCTTTTCATTGGCGCGACATCAGGAAAGTGTTCGTGGAATTATTCGTTCGGTGACTTACGCGAAAGGGTTCGATGTAAAGCATTAATCACAGCCCTATACTTAGTGATAAGATCATGTTGTAATCTGATTCTTATTGATTCTTTCGAAAGCTTTGATAAAGCCCCGGCACAATAAGGTCGTGGCCTGTTACGTCGCTTCCTGGGCCTTATACAGGCCGGAAAATGGAAAATTCGGGATAAACAATCTTCGGCCGGAGCTTTGCACGCATCTAATCTACGCGTTCGCCGGATTGAATCACACGAACTGGACGATTAAGAGCCTTGATCCGTTTAAGGACATTGAAAATGGTAACTAAGATTCCCAGAGAATCTTCACGAATTTTAATAAGTATTTCGTAGGAAGCATACATACAGATTTACATTCAGAAAATTCACTTCCGGTGGAATGATTTCCCAGGTAGCACATGACGCATTGAAGACGGCTTAAAGGCGCCTTAAACCTAAAATAGCCGTAAAATGGACGTCTTTAAGGAGCCATGTGCTATCTGGGCTATATACGCTACGAAAGCGAAATATTGAGTAATAATAACGGATATTTTTATGCGCTTTTAGGAACAGGAGATTACAGGAGGTTTACCCAAATTCGTGAAGACTATCCCCATTTAAAAATCTCTATTGCGATCGGAGGATGGAACGAAGGTAGCCAAAATTATTCGGAGCTTGCTTCGTCCCCCGTACGAAGAAATAGATTCGTCAACAGTGTGGTCGAGTTCCTTAGGTATATTATTCAATAATTTCCAATTATTATTAGCATTCTCTTTAAATGATATATTATTCGTCCAGAGAATATCGTTTCAATGGGTTCGATCTGGACTGGGAGTTTCCTGGATCACGCGGAGGAATGCCAGTTCATTTCATTTTAGCAAATCTCAGCTTAGCTACTAATAAATATTAGCCACTATATATCTATAGACTGTTGTTAAAGGTGTTTAATCATTTGTAATGTATATCTGAGAACAAAGAAAGTAAGATAATAATACAATTGAATGAGCTTCAATAGGCAATACATTGATCTGTATCAGGAACTCAAAGAAGCATTCATCAAGCCAGGATACGTACTAACAGCAGCTATAAGCGCCAATCTAGGAATGATAGACGCGGGATATAATATTCCCGAAATTTCAAAGTATCTAGACCACATTCATGTGATGGCTTATGATTACCACGGTACATGGGACTTGAAAGTACTTCCGAATTCACCCATGACAAGCCACGATAAACTCAGCGTGGTACGAAATTACAAACACATATAGAAACAGAATGTTCGAATGCATTGAAATCTGAACATTTTCTTTCAGGAAGACACAATCGGACACTTGTTAAACAAAGGTGCACCAGCGAATAAATTAGTGTTAGGCTTGCCCATGTATGGAAGAACGTTTATATTGACCACCAAGCCCAGTTCTCCCCAAGAGAATCCCATGAATAAGACATGCTTGCCCGATGGATTTAAAGGTCCCTATACTGGACAGGTTGGGTTCATGGGATACAATGAAGTACGACTTTAATTTTTTTAAACTCTAGATTGTCTGATTGTTTAACTGTTTTCTCATGTAACATAAATTCATCCACAGATTTGCGAGGTGATAGTGAAGGATTTACACCTTTGGACGACTGGCTGGGATATGGAGAGCAGTACGCCCTACGCTGTCAAAGACGATCACGTGATTGTGTATGATAATCCAATCAGTATGAAGACAAAGGTTGGCAACATTGCGGGGAAACTGAAGTTGACGTAAACGATTTAATATTGCTATTTAAATTGAACCATTTGTAATCTACAGATCGAATACGCGACAAAAATGAACCTTGCCGGTGTAATGGTCTGGAGTATTGACACGGATGATTTCCACGGCAAGTGCGCGAACTTGATGGAGTCCTTGGACCCGACGGACTCAACCTTTCCCTTGATGCGATCCATCAACATGGTTCTCGCTAATACGACTAATCGTAAACCAGACGATTCGAACGACAACAAGTCTTCATCAGACAGATGTTTTTTCAATTTTACATTCATTTTACTCGTACTTCTGGTGCAATACGTTTGAGGACGGCTCGTGACAATCGAGGAATACCAAAAAAAAAAAAAAAAACAACGATAACAAACTTATGATCTCTGATAATTCGAAAAAGTTCCTTTAAAACTGCCCCTGGTATAGTCTATATTATAACGGACAGAAAACCGACTTGAAACCACAGGAGATTAGTTTGATTGATAAAAATGAATCTGAAATTATACATAATGGGATCAAACAACGCGTGTGCCATTATTATTGTTTTTCCGTTAAACAAAAATTATTGAAACGCACAGCTTGTATGGTTTACGCTGTATAATTTCATGTTTAACTCTGTTTTAGAAACGAACCCCATGTATGGACGAAATAATAAGTATATATGATTCGAATATGTGTGACCATTTTACCCCAGGATTAGTGTTCCCCTGCAATCTAAACTCCCTTACACTAATCCGAACGTTAGCGTATAGTAGACACGAAGCGTAGGGAGTATATACCGTACTCTTTATAGACTGCATACTGCCTAAACTTTCAATTATCCATGTACATAGAGATAAAGAAAGATTGTAATAAAGCGTACCTTTAAGTGTGTAAACGAAGTAAAAGTATTTGAATGAAACACGTCCTTTTCCCCCATAACCTACGTCGATATCTTCAGAGAATAATGGTCGTTCCAAATCGATTTCATAATCGCGATTCCAATTACAAATTCAAATTTTCAAATCGATTAAAAAAATTCTACAATGTCGCCAGGAATTTGAATGTCTATACGTTCAAGATTGATACCGATAGACCGATCCACGATCGGATTATCGAAACGCCTGGACAACCAGTTGGAATCGTTGCACAATCGAATCGACGTTCGTCGAGCAATTTTTTGTATTATCGAATTCTCGTATTTCGTCTTCTGTTTTTTCTTCTTTTTTTTTTTAATTTTATTATGGTAAAGGTGTCCAGATCGGAGTCGAGCATGGTAATTGGAACCCTGGGACTGCTTGGATTCGGTTGTACGTTCAAGGCGACCGGCGACTTTTGGCGTAAACACTTTTTCCCCGGTATGAAAAAGGAGCGAAACGAGATAAGCCGAGAACGTGGGAGGCTGGCGCCAAACTATTGTGCAAGATTGGCAGAGACCCAGAGAACACTGCCTAAGGATATTCGGATCGTTCAATTATTCAATCTGCTTTGCATATTACGTTACCAATATGCCCGCTTATATCACAATTCTATCGAACGTTCAGGCGACATTAAGGAATTTTCGTTTCGTGAAGACGTTCACTGATTCCCGCGTGAACCGGAAGTGGAGTATTAAATGATTCTCCAACTGTAACATATTCAAGGTCGCAAAGAAATGGAATTGTTGATTGCTGATGATAATCATCGAAGACCCATTCATTCTGATCCGGAAATATTCCTATTTAATCATACGAAGAATTTGTAGGAAGTATTATTACGGTTCTGTAAGATAAACGACTGTTTATTTTCCGTATTTTCAAATTGCCTGGAGCAAGTTTCGTTGCACGCACGCAGTATTTCGGTGGTACAAGGCAGGCGATGCCGGAGCGACAGCACGTTGCTCCAGTTTGGAAGTGAATGTTTGTTATGGAAAAAAATGTAGGTCAGTAATTTCGGGGTTCCATACACGTACGAAGATCGATCATCGGGATCGGGTTACCGCTCAAGGGTTACGTAAAACCCCCGTTCGCCCTGTGCGAAATTAGGCTGGATTTTTATTAACACTAGAGCTATAGACAATAATCGCACATCTATTTCGATCGGTTGATAAACATGATAAACGTGTGAAAATGAACAAATTTATAAATTAACTGATTTCGTCACTCCCATATCAAATAAAAGTTGCCAAGGATCTAAGGAATTGTATTGTCATAATATTTTAATCATCGTTATAAGAATGTGACAACCTGTCATTTCGACTGTTCTGGTAGTTCTAGTGTTAAACGAGAGAAACAAGCTAAACAGGCAATTTTGAAATTGAAGATTACTTCGATGTGTTCCGATAGTAATACATAATTTTGTTTCAAGTTTTTTTCATTCCTCGATCGCTTTCTTCGTATGTTTTACTAACTTGTGATGGGAACTTTATAAACAGTTTACCGTATTACATAGTCCATTCGTTATTCTTTAACGCCGAGGAAGTCCTATATTCAATTTATTGTTGTTCCAACAAATAAATATTTTACGAATAAATTATTATTCGGTTGCCATGATTATCATCTGTTCGAATCGAATAACCAAGAAGGGAGACTGGTTCGGTAGACTTCATTAACCCTTGTGTAGACAACCAAAATGTTCACGGTTATTGAGCAATCGGAATACTTCGATTCTGACAGATTAGATAAACATAGATAATTTTACTTTCATACTTTTCCGAAACTGTTGGTTTTCCCTTCCAATAATATACCAAGTGCTGTTTTAGACAAACACAAAAAATTGTGAAAGGAAATTTAGAAATGGGTATACCCGGTTGCCTACACAAGGGTTAAACCGATCGATGATTTAATGGCGCTCCAGCGAAACTCGATCGCAAGGATTCCTTCACCTTTCAATGCCGGTCATCGACGGGCCAGTGAAATTATCACACGAATCTGAACTTACTTCTTGGACAGTCGTTTACTGTGGAATCAGTACTCGACCAACGTTCGGATCGAGAGGAACCTTCCGATCCGAAAATCTTCGATCGAGCCCTGGATAGATCGTTACAAAAGCCACCACTGTCGTGAAACATTAGAATACGAGGAGGAACGTGAATGACAAATATTGCTCGGTTAAAAAGTCTAATAATCCTACGATGCGGTGATCGTTATCTTGAAGCACTTCTACGAAAACTGTTACGTCTATCGGTATTGAATATTAAAAATTGTTATCGGATAGATTTGAACATAGCGGAACATGTTCGTTCGCTTCGCTTTAATCGCAAGTAAGTATGCTTCACAGAACATTCCATAAAGCGAAGAAATAATTGTTATTATTCTGTAATACAATAGAGAAAAAACTTTCGTCAGATGCAATGTGTTTTCTACTTTATTCTGAACCCAATAAGATATTTAAGAGAAGAAAGAAATTCCTACGTTTGCTGTTGTCTTCGAAAATTACTTTAAAAAATGCCATTTTGCATAAAAATCCGCAGTTTAGTTATTATTATATGATCATCATGTTTGATCTTGCGTCTGAATTGTGACCGTTTATGTTAACTTTTTAATCGAAGAGCAAATAATGGGTGCTCAGCAGAAGTTGAGTAAATTGTGCCACCAAATAGAATGACGTTCCAATAAATGGAGTTTTATGGCACGAAAGGTCCACATTTTTCTTAGTATAAATTAAATAACAATGTTTATTGTAGTTTTGTCGACGGTCGTTTTCGCGGGTCATTATTACAATGAAGATGGAACACCGTATGATCCGTATCATAATTTACACTTACCCCATGATCCACCGCTTTATCCAACGTATCACAGAGTGCCTCGTACCGGTTTCTCTTGCTACGGTTTGGAGAACCAGCTGTGGGCCGATCTCAGTACGCAGTGCCAGGTAAGAACAATCTGAAAACGTAGTGAAAATAATGATTAAAATTTATGCACGTTAGCATTGTTGAGTTTCAGTTGAAGTTTCGATTTTACTACATATTAAAAATTTGTAAGTTTGATAAATGCATAGAATCCTGCGTTTAGCAATAAGATAATATTGCACAAAGTGTTTAAAATATAGTATTTTGAATTTGAATGGTATGGATACAACATACAAAAACATCATTCATTTTCTAGGCGTACCACCTATGCCGTGATGGACGTTTGATTTCCAGCCATCTTTGTGTGAATGGAACACTCTTCAACGAACAGTTCCAAGTCTGCGATCAATTTTACAACGTCAGATGCGGCAGCCCATATGGAGATCTATGAATCACATTAGGAGTATTAATACTTAAAGTGCCTGAGGACATGAATTAAATTTACAAAAAAAGACCAGCTATCTAACATTAATATAATCGAAAACTTATGGGAATTTTTTGTAAAATAAATTGTTTAGAAAAACTACAGACACTTTTCAACACTAATAGACGAATTGAAAACTCCTGCGATTGAGGGATGTTAAGGAATCACTGACCAGAGTATCATTAAATAGCTATTTTGAATTATTGAGTTTTATTTTATTACCCTTATTCTGTAATTCTGTTTTTTTCAATGAAAAAGAATTAAATGGTACACGTGCGTTGTCACTACCTCTGCCCCATATTTTCCATAAATAAATAAATAATAATTGCTAAATTTAGTTAAAATCGCGTCAAAAATAAATTTAAAATCAAATTTCGCAGGAAATTTGAATCTCAACAAGCGCGGGAGAACAATTTTCAAAGCTTCATAAAGTTTTTCGTAAGTTTGTCGCCGAAATTTCCATTTCTGGAGACACACGATAGATGTGTGAATAAATATTCCAGCGCCAGAATTATTATAATTATTCCCTCAATTATTATATTAATAAATATATTATTAACTTCAATTAGAAATAATGATCGTGCGAACTATGTCGAATTCAAGTTCAGACTGACGCTGTGCGCACTTGATCTAGATTTAGGGATTCAGAAATCAATGTTTCCGGGGAAAGTTGAAATGTACCTAGAAGATACGTTCCAGGGACTTTTTGAATCGTGCAAACATGTCAGGCGCTGGAGTCTCGACTGGATGACATTTCAAACTGTTTCAAACTCGAAAAACATGGCGCTCTTCAATAAAGGGGATTGGTGTACTCCTACACCGTTTTGGCATAATGGACCGGCACCCGGCGCATTTTACCATTTTCCTGGAGGTTCCTCGCAATCCGATGTTGGAGGATTTCAGCGATCACAGTAATATGTCCCGTTGTATATTCATTATCTTAAAAGCGTTTTTGTTAGAAAATTGCATGTCATGTCGTTTTTCATAAACATAAATCACAGATAATTCGAAAATAAGTAAGACTGATGATTGCCTGCTTTCATTAATTACTAATTTAACAAAACGTAGAAATCTTTTAAACTATATGCATATTTCATATTGTTTAATGTTACTCTAACCTTAATTGGATTTTCATTTTTTCATAGGTCTCCGATGACAACAGGTACATCTGTAGTCGGAATTCAATTCAAAGATGGTATCCTTATAGCAGCAGATGTTCTTGGATCCTATGGATCATTGGCTCGGTTCAGAAATCTTGAACGCGTGATGAAAGTCAACAACAACATCATTCTTGGTGCAGGAGGAGACTATGCAGACTACCAATGCCTTAAAAGCAACATCGAAAGGAAAATGTATGTTTCTATGGTCATTTAACAAAGGGTTTTGTAATGTGAGTTAACATTGTAATTATGCTTTACAGTTTAGAGGAATCGTGTTTGGATGATGGATTATCTCTGAAGCCAAAATCTTTGCATTGCTGGTTAACTAGAGTAATGTACAACAGAAGATCTAACTTCAATCCATTCTGGAATAACTTTGTTATTGGTGGCATAGAAGATGATAAACTGTAAGTGTGCTGTTTTTCTTTCAACTATGCAAGTGTAGATCTAACACTTATTTAAATACTTTCTGCAGCTTCTTAGGTACTGTGGATAAGCTTGGCACAGCTTATAGCGATCCAGTAATTGCCACTGGATATGGTGCATACATGGCAACACCTATTCTAAGAAAAGCTTATGAAGAAAATAAGGAAATGACCAAAGAGCAGGCAATGGAACTTTTGTACAAAGTGATGCAAGTTCTGTATTACAGAGATGCACGATCTTTCCCAAAAGTAAGTTATGCAATTACATTAGAGTTCCGTGGTCTAGAAGAATATGAAAATTAAAACATTTCTTTTTTTCAGTATCAACTTGGTATAATAACAAAGGAAGGAGGTATTGAGATACAAGGACCAATATCGCTAGACAGCTATTGGGGACCTGCCATCATGTAAAGATCAATATAATAAACTTTTTCTTAATAAATATATTTACATGTAAGACGTACCTGTTGAAACAAATATTTTTATTCGACCTTTATAATAACAATTTATAAATAGAAATGGTAGTTTTGTACAAGGACTTAAAGATGCGTGTGCAGGAAATACCTTCATAAGGTTAACAAGTTAACACTTCACAGCCACTATCAGTAATTAAAATGGTGTGTTCCGATTGAGAAGTACGAGAATTGTCAACAGTAACAGCTGTCCATCCATCTTCTAAAATTTCAACTTCCCAACTACCTGGAGTTAAAATTGGTTCAATAGTAAATGTCATTCCCGTCAGCATTTTCCCAGGATCGGAATTTGCTAAAAGTAATAAAATGTATACTATATTCACTTCATCTGCTTATACGAAATATGTTAAATTAAATCCTTAATGTACCAAAATGTAAAATATCTGGTGGTCCATGGAAATAAGTACCAATACCATGGCCTGCAAAAGCTGGTAGTATATGATATCCATTTTTATTTGCAATGTCTTCAATAACACTACCTAAACAAAAAGGAAACGAATGAAGTTTCTACTTAATATTTCAGTTGCCTAACTGCAAGGAAATATGCAAGTATCATTGAGTTCCTAGAATAAATGAAGTTCTAGTGTATTATAATAATCACCAATATGACAAAAATTCTCGTTTGGTTTACAAATGTTAATGGCTTCATTTAAGCACACTTCTGTGATGCTTATTAATCGTTTAGCTTCCTTATCACATTCTCCTACTTCAAACATTTGCGAACAGTCTCCATGATATCCATTCAGGAATACCTATTTATAAATAAGTGTACATGCTGTAAACTTCTAAGGTATTTATACTTCAAGAATAACTTTCTACACACTGTTACATCAATATTGAGTATGTCTCCATTTTGCAATGGTCTACTATCAGGAATACCATGGCATGCAACGTTGTTGATGCTAGTACATATTGATTTTGGAAATCTACGATAATTAAGTGGGCTAGGATAAGCTCCATTGCTTATGATCATTTCATGAGCTATTACATCTAATTCATCAGTGGTTACACCAGGCTGAAATCAGGTCTGTTAATTCACTCAATTACAATAGTTAATTAAATTTTATGCTAGAATACACATTATATACCTTTACATATTCTTTGATTCGAGTCAATACTTTTCTAGCAAAATAACAACTATCTCTCATACATTTTATTTGATTTTTGTCCTTAATTTCTACCTTTTCTGGACTTTGTCTGGGTACGGATGACTGACTGTAAGATGGTTTAGGAATATATCCCGGTACTTTTCTCATTGGAGAAACTGTCCATGGTTCAACAATTTCATAATTCCCAAACGTATTATTCACACGTTTGGGTGCCTGAACCTACAAAGTTTACATAACGGTTAGACAAATGAACATAATTAAAACCGTATTATTACCTGCTAATAAACTTACATTTGATAGTTTTTTAAACAAATTTCTGATAAACATTTTCAAAGGACAGTGTGAACAATGTGTATGTTTATATGATTGAGTCTTATGAAATGTAGTAAATTACTAGCAGAGATAACCAATGCACCTACGGATCTCTGCTTTGAGATCTTATAAAAAAAATTGTTTATTTCTTCTTCGCAAAACCATTTGTCATGGTAATTTTCATTCAGCAAAGCGTATCAAACATGATGCAACCGAGATTCAGAGGGTTATGCACTTTTTAAATTTATAAATCAACTGACGTCAGAGTCGCGTAGCTGTCCTAGAAATCCGCTGTGATGCACAAGTGTCTGACGGGAAGACTTCCGCAAATGTGAAGTATGAATGTAATGAAATCGTTTCGAGAGGTGTTATCGAATGCGAGAAACGTGTTAATATTAACTGGCAGCGGAATTTCTGCGGAATCTGGGATTCCCACATTTAGAGGTGCCGGTGGTTTTTGGCGGAGATACCAAGCACAGAACCTTGCTACTCCGGAAGCATTCGCAGCAAATCCTTCTTTAGTCTGGGAATTTTATGAATATCGTAGAAGAGTAGCTAACGCGGCTAAACCTAATAAAGTAATCAGACGATTATTCTGTAAAGCACTTGGCGTTTGTACTTATATCTCAATTCGGTAATATTCTGATTTCTTTAGGCTCATGAAGCAATAGCAAACTTTCAACAGCATGCCTCTGGAAAAGGCAGTAAGGTTACCATTGTAACACAGAACATCGATGAACTTCATCAAAGAGCTGGTGCTAAAGATGTAATAGAGCTTCATGGTTCGCTTTACAAAACACGTTGCACTGTTTGCCACGAGGTGACTACAAATACAAATATTCCAATATGTCCTGCACTAGAAGGAAAGGGGTAAGGGTACAGTTTCTGAAGTTATTTGTACATATGTAGACTGTATTTTAAATACTATTTGTGCAAATATATTCAGATCTCCGGATCCCAACATTATGGTCTCTGACATTTCCAAAGATGATTTACCTAAATGTCAAACAGAGAACTGCAAGGGTTTACTGAGACCTCATATAGTATGGTTTGGTGAAAACTTGAATGACCATGTACTTCAACAGGCCTGTTAGTACTTTTATACATGTATAAATATATTCACATAAATGGACAAGACATAACGCTTACAATTTAACAACATATAATAAAAATATATACAAAAAGTTTAGGTAGTTGTAAATAAAATAATATTTTGGTCTTCTTTACACACTAGACAATGCTGTGGAAAATTGTGACGCATGTTTAGTTATTGGTACATCGTCGATTGTGTACCCTGCGGCAATGTTTGCACCGCAAGTGGCGAAACGCGGTGTTCCTGTCGCTGAATTTAACTTGGAGACAACTCCCGCTACGAGACACTTTACGTGAGTTCAATTCAGAACTATTTTATATCCTTCATAAATAAAGTTATAAAATAATCTATACAAAGAGTATAAGTGTCATACTATCAATAGATTTAAAGTATTTCGTTTGGCACATAAATGTACATTTGCATGCGAACCCCTTATACATCGTCGTCACACTGCGCTGTTTTTACTGTCGATCTTTTATCTGTAACATAACAATAATTCTATCTATTTTAAAGGTATCATTTTCAAGGACCCTGTACAATTACAGTGACGGAAGCTTTGGAACTTTGAATTTGTAAATTACACATGTTCAAGATGGTACAATATCTTTCCTACCTTGTACCAGGCACACTTCAGTGTTAAGTCCAAGTTCGTTTAGATATTCCAACCACAATCGTTGCTTTGTCGAAAGAACATCTCGAGGACCTTTTACCTCTACAATCTTATGCTACAAGAAATAGATGATATGTATTAATATAAAATGTGTATTTGCCATTAAGTATATGTATATAAAAAGGCATGTTTTCTATAATTTTGTTCAACAGCACTTGTTCTGTAAATATTTACCTGTCTAGTGGTATAATTCCAGACAATTAAATCAGGAAATCCAGCCTTCCAGAGCTTAAAATTATCGAGCATTCGTTTACAAATTCCTACAACGCCTTCAACTCCCAGACAATAGACAATTTCCTGAAAACAAAAAGTATATTGTATAATATATGAGTGTATTTTATTGTTTAACTGAAAAAAAAAATAGAATAGAGAGAACACGATAGTTTTATATCTTTTGACGACTGAATTGAACGTAGTTCCCATTTCCACCGCATTTAATCGTAGATGGCGTCGCAGTGTTTCAGTTTCTTTGCTAGAAATATTCTATTTATCGTGTGCTTTATCGGTAATAATATGAAAGAAATACGCACTTTCATATGAGAATTTTGTTTCAGGAAATTCGATGGCATCAAAGACCGGTAATGACTACGAGTTTTATAACTTTCTTCCATAAAACAGCTGAAATATTCTGCATCGACAGTGCTAATAATTTGCAACTTTGTATCTATAGTGTCTTTTCTATTTTCATAAAAATGCTCCGTATATAGATCAAATGGAGCATCTTGATACGGGGTCATAAATGCTCCAGGAATGTCCTCGTTATATAATTCCTCCCAGAACAAAGTACTGAATAAAAGAATTGGTAAATTTCCTTCACAGTGTAATCCATTGGAAAACCCATTCTCCGTGTAGTAATACAAGGCGAACGCTTCAACTGATCCATAACTCTGACTTTCAGTACCACTTTCCACGCACCAAACGCTCTTACTTCCGCGAGCAGTCCTAATACAATAAAATATTCAATTACAATGCATTACGCTTATTATTATGCTTCACAAATGCATCGTAAAATCGATACAAATTGATTTACCTCGGCATTGCTGAGGCGTCAATAATATTAGACGCAGCCTCATATCTTGGCATTTGGCAAATGTGATCGTCTAATACCTTCTTAATATTTACTTTTGTATCTGACTTTACGCCAGTCTTTCTTCTAAGAATCATATTTCCTCTGTTTATGAGGTCTACTTTGTCTACTCGTGATAAGTTTTCAGTATTCAAGGCCTTTATTGTTATTAATGCACTAGTATCTGAATCCTTATAATGGAACATTTTAATACGCGCTAATTCACAGTACCATCTTCCTTTATATGTATGCGTATGACACTCTTGGTTTAACAACAGATGCAAAATTTTCACGACGCGTGATTTGTCCGCATCTTTTTTGAACGCATCAATAGTTTTTGAAAGTATCTTCAACCACACGTATCCAGGCATAAAACGTCTCACATGCATGGGAAGTGTAGTATTTTGCAGTCTGCAACGTATATAGTTCACAATTATAATATTGAAAATATATTTAATAAATCTTACACTTGAATACCTTATAGATTCGGTTTCTAACATCTTAGGCAATATATTCGTTGCCATCTCTCCGAATATTTTCACCTTTCTCCAATTCTTCTTCTCGATGAAGCTCATTGTCGTGAACAACGTAGATCTAGCATACACATAACTGCAAACAGATGCCACTTTAAGTAAACTAAGATCATTAAAAATAGACGAAACCTAAACGAAATCAAATACAGATAACTTACTTCATTAAATGTATTTTAGACGAAAATATTGGAAAACGATTGTTAGGAACATCGGGGAAAATGATTTTTTCTAAGTAAACATCGCCCAGCATGTAGAATATATCCGACATAGTCATTATTCCACTCTGATACGGCAATAGCAAAGTCATTATTGTATCAATAATATTCCACGTTTCCTCTTTCACACGTACACAATAATCCAATATGCTAAAAAGAGAACTGTACAAAGCAGTGCTTGGACTTCTCATTCCCGGAAATAAAGATTTATTCTTTGACAACATTAACAATTTTTTTATACTAGCTTCTTTTTTCCCTTTGACGTCTATTTTCATGCATTGACAGAGCCGACGAAGTTCGTCAACTTGTAATAAATCCAGTATGACAGACAAATCTTCCTTCTTAACATCGCACGTGCAAATAGATCGCGATTGAAGAAGTTCGAAGGTATCTTTTAAATCTGCGGCTATTTCTGAATAATTTATGTTGCGCAAACGGTGCCAATCTCTTTTTCTTTTTATCATACGAGCCAATAACATTTGAGCTCTTTCTGGAAGGGTAAGAATGACATATATGAAATCTAACTCGTGTTCCTCGAAGTAACCGCAATTAATAGGCTCGGACATGACAGTAAGAATAGAAAAAATTAAAATCTTTGCATTTAGATCTGTAGGCAAAGTTACTCGAGTCAGATTATACTTCATCAAAGTCTGAGTATTTATTTCACTATAACAATATTTAAATGTATCCTCAGAATATATTTTTTCCAAATTGAACTCATTTGGTGAAATAGCACCTTGTTTGATTAAGTTCATGTTTTCAATTGCCTTGCTTACAATATCAACATTTATAGTGTTACTAAACAATCTTTTCCTTGCAATATGTTTTCGTGATTTAGCGGATGGCGATTTAGGAGAATAATTCGACTTTTTAGATGTAGAACTAGAACCACTAAAGCTTGTCATCGGAGACTTATCTTTGTTAGGAGTTCTTACTTCTTTATTTGGAGTTTTATTTAAAACATTAACTTCATCATTACTGAATGGTATGTCAGGCACATTTATATGTCTCATCTGCAAAATATTATTTGATACTGATGCTTCATTAGAACTCGTAGATTTTCCCAATTCATTTTCTGGTATGCTTAAATGAGTTTCATTATCATGTAACATATTTTTTTTTGCTTTATGTTTTGTGTGATTAGTTGGTGACAATGAACGCTTACTATTAGTCATCTTTCTAGATGATTCTGTCTTATTATTCTCTTTAGAAAATAATTCGATACTGTCATTTAATTCATCATCCTGAAATAACATGTCTATGTCACAAAAATCCTCAAACGATAGGTCTGTATTTTCATGATTCCCCACAAGTGCATCATTGGGTTTTTCATACACAATTACACAGTCCGATGATGCTACAGATTGAATACTATTCTGTGAGGATGAAACACTTTCTTCCTCATTTTTCTTTGTGTTTATGCCTGATTCTTCGTTATTATTTCTTGTTAATAATTCATTGTATTTATATGCATTGTCTTTAGAATCGTCGAGATTCGATTTGCTAACATCTGAATATGTAACAGCACCTTTTGATGTTCTCTCAGATTGTATATTATTCTGCGATAAAGAAAATTTTTTCTTCCCCACATTTCTCCTTTTCTTGTTCTACGAATACAGTAAACAATTTAAGAAAGAGAAATTAACCCGAAAAAGTAATTACAAAAAACGTAACTTACACTTTGCGTCAGAGGAGTAGATTTTAACTGAACCGGTTTTTTGTCGTTCGCATTGTTTAATCTTTGTTTGTTTGTTGATTTAAAATACCGATCAATGCGCGCCTGACGAAGCATTGTTTCTCTGTTAAATGATAAGTGCCATGATAATAATCTATGTTTACTATTTTATTCGGTTCGGTACCATTAAACAAAAAATGTAAAATATCTTCACGTACTTTCAATTAATAATTCACACACGCTGTAATCCATACCTCCAACCTAATACACTTTACGAACATGTTCTACTTGACTCATGACTTGACAGAAACAAAAAAGTATTGTTGATTCCTGTCATAATACATAAATAGAAAGTGCAACTGTAGATTGCATGTGCATTTCCGCAAAATCCACAAAACCTATGGTAGAGTCCACAGTGTGGATCACTGTCGACATGATGAGGTTGTCAAATTTAGCACAGGAGGCGCTAGGAAATGACGCGTAACCAAGAAAGACACCATCTATAAAATATATCATTTATCCAAGTATGTTAAATAAATATAACCTACAAATGTAGAAGACCACGTTTAAAAATAAATTAGGAGTTTAATATTAATGTTAAAATGCTTTTAAGAAATAGTTGATCGAAGAATAAAGATGAATAATATTTATGAAATTCTAGAGAATGACGTACACGAAGTTTCAAATTAATTTAACAAATTCTCGGAAACAATTACAAAACATAAATACATTGAAACATATATATACATGTATAAAGAAAATATAGTTTATATGATTGCGTCCGTTCAATTATTTAATGTTAAGTAAAAATTGAGTTCTTTTTTCACTAGGTAGGATATCCTGAAGAAAATTTATTATTTACGCGATGTAATCAGAATTTATTTTCAGCAGATGTATCCGCTCTCTTTTTGTTTGTCCAGTCTATGTTCGTAAATGTTTTTCCTGTTAACAGTATGTTCTAAATGCAATTATAAACCATCCCTTTGAGACAGGTTGTATCGTTCTTCCTGTGAAACAAAAATCTGTATACTTTGGTGCTATATAGCACATAAAGTGTACAATGCGGTACAAGTAGAATAGGCAAATAAAACAGACAAAGGCGTATCTTGATCTGTTAACATAAAGTACGCAGAGAATATGTGTATCGCATAATATGTTTTCGCCCTGACAAACTATCCTTTTGCTCCTTGTAATATGTGTATATGTATATATATATATATATATGTACAACAATCGGATTGTTTATAGTTCAGCCAATTTGTCAGAGTTACATAATTAGAATACATTTAAGAGTCAAATTTCAACCCGTAGATTGACATATATACATTCAATTAGTTACATTATCTAATAGAGTCAAATGTTAATCACATTAATTACGGATATTAATACTAAACAATAGTTGAGTTTAGATCTCTAGGCATAATTTGTAGGAAACGTAACTCATCTACCTGATAACATCTCTACTCCTCTATTAATACTGTAACGTAACGAAAACATTGTTTTTTTTTTCAAGTATTCTCGGATCACGTTTTGAACATGTTTTCACCAGCTGGTAGAAAGAGCTTCGGCCTATGTCATCGTTCAATTACAAAAGAAAGCGCATACTAGAACATTCCAAACACGAGGTCCGTGAAGCGAACGAAATTTCGGAAATACCCGCGAAGAATATTGCGTTTCGTAAAAAGTAAAATATAATTCACACGTCGTTTTATGTCTGGTAGTATTTTATTTGGACCAAATTAAATTTGATACATGCGTTCAGCGAAAGGTGTTATCAGGGGACGAGAGAGTAGATGATGTTCTTTCTTTTCATTCTTTTTTTTTTTGTATCGAAGAACAAATTTGAAGGGTCCGTCTAGATCAAACCATTCTACATACATAGAACTTGTTATCTTTACCCCGTTGGCGTTCTTCAATCGTTACAATCTCGAGAAAAAAATTCTCAAATACTCTCGCCAAACTTTCATTCGAATCGTAGCTTTGGTTGGAGCCGTTATTTTTTTTGTCACAATTTTTTTTCCCCCTTTCCAATTAAATATCTTCCTGTCGCACAGCGACATAGAAGGTGTCTACTGTATTCACAGAATAAAATACACGTATAATAGATACACTGCATGTCGACACTCGTCGATATTATCGTAAAAGTTTGTTTTTTTTTTTCAACACTCAGAACGTTTCTTAAGAGCTTCCACGTTAAACATTATATAAGCTCATTCTTTCTCTGAATAATCGGTATTGTTTTTTTTGCTCTCCTCACACGAGAAACGATATAATAGGTCTCGTTCGATCGCTCTAAACAGTTGCATTGATCCGGCTTACTTCTACTTACACGATACAAGTGTTTGTTTTTTTTTTTGTTTGTTTCCGCGTATGCAACAAATTAGGTAAACACGAAGTCTCACGATCCATCTCGACCGAATTACATGTACCTTCGTTCTCTTTTAGTTTTCTCTCTTTCTCTCACACGCACATTCTTTCTCTTACTTAATCTCGTCGACTAACTACATAAATTATTAAAATTTCTATAAATAATAAAAAGCATTCTATGCATTTATCGCTAAAGTAAATAAACTGACTATCATTCGTTCACTCGTAATAGATCTCGTTTAAAAAAAAAAAAAAAAACTGAGTAAAGATCGGTCTCTCTGTTCGGTGGAATTTCGTGTTTGCCAAATTAGAAAATGTTTATAAGTGAACTCATCAGTCTTTGGTTGGAGCGATCAAACCTTTGAAGATTATTTATTTTCCGACGTTCTTTCTTCTTCGTCTTTCGATTTTCTTTTTTTTTTCTTTCGTATTTGTAAAGTGGCTATTGGGTCAATATTTTTAACATTAATAAATTTTATATAAAAATCCATGTACCACTATATTTCGTTTAAAGCGTTCCAACTAAAATAAACAAATGGTTTTTACAAGTACATTCTTGGAAATTTCCTTTTTCCGCACAAAGTTTATCGCTCGTCCTTCTCAAACTACGTGTACACAGGCTGCGGGCGGAAGTGTCTACACAGGGGGAGGGGTGCGGTTTTTTTTTCTTTCGTGTCGCGACAATGCAAGGTTGTGTTCGCCGTACGAGAACGGAAAATGAAAACACGAAACGTAAAGAGCCAACCGTAAAATCGCGCGTAAAATTGATCTGGTTAAGCGTGTGTATAGACCGAAGACGAATATGATTAGCACCACCACCGTTGGTTTCGAAGAGTTTTTTTTTTTTTGGTATTTTTTTTGTCTTCATCGCGCCTCTCGACACACAGGTGAATTTGAGAAAAACGAGAGAAACAATAAGATATCTAAAGTTATGTACAAATGTGGCAGAAATTAGATTTCACAAAATGTTATTATAATATACAGGCGAGTGAAGTTCTTAACAAAATAATAAGTCCTATCCAGGATAAAATTTTCTTTATTACTCCTCCTTCTCTCTTCTCCCACCTAAAATCGTCCCGAATTCATAAATTTTTTTCCATACACATTCGCTGTGCGCCTACCACAACAACATTAATTACAGTTATTTTTTTTATTTTCCGTTAATTACCTAAAAGTAAGAGATACAATAAGCGTAATTATTTTTATATGTACAATATATCTTTTTTTGTTTTGTTTCTTATTATGATTTCATGAAGTCTCCCTAGAATTTGCAACATTTGCACCATTATATATATATATATACTCCCCTCCCCCCTTCCACTCTCACTTGCTTTCTTGATCTCGCGTTACGGCTCGCGAACGAACTTTCGTTTATTTTATGCTTGAACGGAAAAAAGTTTGAAAAAAAATGATAATGTTTCTGTGCCTCGAGTTCGGAGAATCGAACGACCAAATTTTTAGAGAACTCAGCATCGCGGTAATATTTCGCGATAAGGATTAGAAATTTGAAAACCTTCAGGTCCGAACAGTCAGGTTATTGGATCTCGATCAGTGTGTAAGTGTTTCGAATTGAATTGAAACGAACGTATACCTGCTACGAAATGACAATAGAAATTACGCGACGGATGAATGTGCTCTTTGAATTTTTCATCGGTTTCGAAAACTCATGCATATAGTTTAGGCTGTTCCGAGGTTCAACTATTACCCTATACATATTTGTAGGTGACGCATGCATCCGCTTACTGATCAACCACACACAGATCTATGAAAACGCGTGATTGTTGCTAAATCATCCTTCGAAATCCCGAAAACTTATTGATTTTTTCTCTCTGTTTCTGGTACCCGCCCTTGTTTCTGTTTATTTTTTTGTCTGAATGAAAATATACAGTCGATATTGTCAATTTTCTCGTTAAGCTTAGCCTCCCGGTTCACTTCGTTTGATGCTGTAACGCTTACAATCGTCTCGACAGTTACACGTTGGAAAAAGGTAGACAATAATACAAGAAAGACCTAAGAGGAAGAGAATAGACGCGCGCAATATAAAAAAAAAAAAGATCGGCGCGATTATACAGTAACTACATTCGCGTGTCGGTCGTCTTCTAGAGGTAATCGAAAGTTTTTAATAATCTTGCGAGAGAAAATTATTGTAGCGAAGCGTATGGACTACGAGTGTATGTGTGTGTATGTGTGTGTGTGAGTGCCTTACAGCACACCTTAATCTCAGTTTCCACGTAGCGGTTTTCATCAGTAGACTGTGTGTTAAAATTCCTATTCGACTACGACAAATCATTCGAATGCATAAATAACAGAGAACGGAGTCTTATTCGTAATGGCAAATAGCACTTTTTCCGATGCGATACTCTTTGTAAACGGTGTCGTTCTAAGCAGGGATTTAGTTTTAAATTCATTTATCGGAAGCTTAAACATAGTCTTAGGCTATTGTTCTAACACGTTTATTATAACTTTTGTCCATTGATTTTGCTTCGTAACGAATTCTACTGGTATAAATAAAGAAATATTTAAAATAAACACCATCCTCTCCCCGAAGTACTGTTATTGGAACCCTGCTGCGGGAATATTTATAAAAGAAAAAAAGGAAATAAACACATTGGCTCGCGGTGTATTGATTTCTTGTACAATATCGAAGAAGAATTTAAATCAATGTTTCACTTCGGAGCCAATCTGATAATTTAATGATGTCTTTTCCTACTTTGTATGGCGAAGAAATCCCATCAATTTAGCTTTTACCACTCGTAGCTCCGCAATTACTAAACGTGAAAGACATATAAGAATTCTCTTCTGCATTCCTTGCAAACGATATATTATTTTCCTAACGTGGTGTCACGAACTTGTTACTTTTTAATACGGAATTTTCCACGGTACAAGCTTTCCAAACGCAACATTAGGATCATATGTCTGTATGCTAGAGTATACACATAAGAGGGATGACGATTGAATAACAGCACAGAAATGCATGGTTCAGCGATCAATGAAACAATCAAAAAAACATTCTGTATTA